ACATGGGCACAGCTCTTTTCGTCACCGTCGCGTTTCCGCCGCAGGTGCCGTGCATCAATACAGGGCTTGCTGTGGCCTGACTGTACATTGAGCCACCATGCCCATCTCCGCGGCTGTGCTCTGCTCGCGGCGAGGTGAGCGCATGCTCATTGAGTCGCGATGACGCCTCTGTGCGGCTCGGCTTTGCTTTGGTTCTGAGAGGTTTAGGTGACCGGCCGATGACCCAGTCGATAGCGACCGCCTCGTGACTTCATCACGCCGAAGCGCTCAGCAACGAGCCGCCCGAGGGTTGCGCCCCGGGTCGGAACAGGGAGCCGCCCGTTGTAAAATTCTGTCAAATTCTTTTCGGCCTACACAACTCTGCGGCGTTTTGCACTTCCGATGTCATATAAGTACATACATTCTTTTTCGTAAAAGAAAGAAAACAGACAACCCAAGGGAGAAAGAAAGAAAACACAGAACCCAAGGGAGGGATGGGAGAACGGCACGCCGCCACCACACAGGGATTTTAAGGAGAGGAGAGTGTGATGCAACCCAAGGGAGGACGCTTTAGCGGCCTTGATGTCGAAGTTGGTGTTGAACCACGTCGCCGCCTCGTGCCCGATGCCGCCACGCGTCATTCTCTTCTCTCGTGCCCGATGCCGCCACGCGTGCTCGCGGCTTCTTTCGCGGGCCCTGGGCTACAATTCTTTCAAACAACAATGACGTGTGAGTGTTAGAGTTGTTTGGTATTGCTAAAAATCTCTCTCTCACAATTCTTTTCGGCCACACAACTCTGCGGCGTTTTGCTACTTCAACCCTTGGTCGTAGGGACTGCGAAGGGAGATAGAAAGAGGCAGACGACCAAGGGTTAGGGTGGGCGTGGCATACGAGCTCATAGGAGAAGGAGGCGGGCAATAAATTGCGCTAAAATTCTTTTCGGCCCACAAGTCTGCGCGTTTTGCTCACTCAAGCCCCGATGGCAGCGCACCTGCTCGAGATCGACGCGTCCGAGGCTTGCCGATCCGGCCCTCGCCTCTGCTGCCGCAGCAGAGCGCCGCACACGCGCCTGGTCTCTGCCCTCCTGAAACGAGAGCCACACGCACGGCTGTGGCTCTGCGCTCGCGTCTGAGAGGTAGCGCGCGCCCTTCCTGAGCAGGCGCAGCTGAATCCGCAGACGCTCTCCTTCCAGGACTTCGGCTCGAGCGGCGGCGCAGGCGCGTCGTCGGCGAGCCCGAGCGGGACCGCGGGCGGGATGGGCGGCGCCATCGGCAGCGGCATGCTCAAGCCGCAGTCGCTGGAGCAGATGCAGGACGTGGAGGGGCAGCCGGGCTCGAGCGGCTTCTGGACGCTGAGGCACTACCAGCCGCTCTTCGACATTGACACCATCCAGGTGTGCCTCACGTCCCCGCCGCTTGCCGCACCACGCACTGCTCGCTCTTTTCCCTTCCCCCCCCCTGAACCTGGACAGCCAGGGGTCCCAACTTTTTTCCGGGGGATG